ACAATCCCCACAGCTCACGTCCCTGCTCACACGCACAGACTCGTCCACATGCACCCAACCACTTGCTCCAGAAGAAAACACTTGTCCTCCCCACCTAACTAATCCAACTCCCGCCCCCTATTCCTATTCCTGGATGAACGGATGTACGGCTACTTCCCCCCAACTTCCATAAGGCCCACAAGGCCGGCCGTCGTGCGGGTCCCAGCGCCCGCGAACGGGCCCGGCAGGGTAAGATGGTTGGTACGGCACCTCGCGGCAACCCCCGTGCCAACGGTCACGACGGCAAGCTCCAGCGGCACCTGGCGGCCAAGCAGCTCAGGTACGTTGGAGCAAGTATGCTTAGGTGTGTAAGTTTGTATGTATGTATGTATGTTTGTAAGCATGTCCCTTCCACCTCGGGGAGCTGCTCGGGGGTGGGGGGGGTGGGGGAAATGGTTTAACCGTCAACATCCTGAGCCACTCCAGCAGTCTGTGGTAAACGTCAAGCGAGCCGCGGGGGGGAGGCGTTTGTGAGCGTGTATATAGAGCTTGTGGGCCCTATCGCCCTATCGCCCTCCTTTCCGCCCAGCTCCCCTGTGACAGATTAACTCGGGTTGATCCGGGTTTTTGTTGTGGGGCCGCTCCGAAACTCTCCAAAATCGAGCTGTATCTGGGCCTGTACAGCGTACGGACGACTGGGTTTACGGGCGCGCGTGCGACAAAGGACACGCTCTTACCTTCCCTGTCTTGACTTTGCATATACTCAACCCCTTTTCCCCCCCCCGACCCAATCTTGTTGACCCTTTTGTGGATCCTCCGCATGGGAGCCCGCCACAGCCTCCCCCCCCCTTCCCTCGCTTCCCTCACCCTCGCTTTGAGCGTCTCTTTGACTTTTTCCATGCAATGCCCTCATGACCCACCTTTTGTCCCTATCTCATACCCCCCCTCACACACACCCTCACACACACCCTCACACACGACGATACCGCCCCACACACCGGCACCGCCTCGCGGTCTTCCAGGGATTCCAAGCGACAGGAGCTGTTGGACAGGAAGCGGCGACCAGCGGCCCCTGTGGTGGTGGCTGTGCTGCCCCTGTCAGAGGTGCGTGGCGGGGTGGGGCGGACCTCTCCCCCTGGGTCGCCTCCTCACCTCAGGTGATGTACAGATACCTCGGGTAGTAAATCTCGGGTAGTAAATCTCGGGTGTTGATGTATCGCATGGTATTGATGTGTGTGGTGGATTGCCTCGGTGTCCAGATCGGTAAAGGAGAAACGGTTGTAAGGTGGCTGGTACGGTGTTTTGGTGGCGGTGGTGGTCTGCGTGCGTGTGTGTGGGGGGGGGAGGGGGAGGGGGACTATGTGCATGGAAACAAGGAATGAGCTGCCAGGGTGCATTCAAGGTGTGTGTCTGTGTGTCTGTGTGTGAGGGGGGGATAACACGAACCACTGGCGAATGGAGCAGATACCAAAAACGGGTCGTCCAGGAGAAGATAAATGCTGCTGCTGTGTGTGTGGGGGGGGGGGAGAGAGATGTGCCTGTAGGAAGTGAAAACGACAATGTCCGTAGTGTTCAGGTGTGCGATAATGGCCAGGACAGGAGTTGAAGCTTCTTAAAACGGAAGTGGCCCCTGCCACATCAGGCACGATGCTAGGAAGGGAGTTGGTTCGGCTGGCTATGATGGGGATATGAGTTAATGAGGAGCGAGTGATTTGTAACCCATCACCCGTTCCCCCAATCACCCCCAATCACCCCCAACCACCCCCAACCTTACCTGGGGTTGCGCTTACAGGAGGTGAACGTGTCGCGATTCTGGCACGGCCTCCGCTATTCTTGTGAGCACGGCAGTAGCAGCAGCAGCAGCAGCGCTACAGCCGTAGCCGCTGACGGCGGCGACACCAGCGGCTGCGGCGACATGGAGATGGACCTCCTCATGTCGGCAGGTCCGCTACAGCCCGTTACCGTACACGTCGCTGCCAAGTCTCGTGTACGGCTGACTCTGTTGCCGCCGCCGCCGGTGCGCAACGACCCGCTGGCCGTAGCGGACCTGGCACGCTGTGCGGAAGTAGTGGTGCTGCTACTGCCCGGCGGCGAGCCGTCCGCCCCGGCTAGCGGCGGCGGCGGCGGGAGCAGCGGTGTTGACGTCGCCGGGCAATCGGCTCTGGCAGTGATGCGGGCGATGGGCATGCCGCCGGTCGTGTGTTGCGTTGTCGGCGCTGGCAGCAGCACCGGCAGCGGCGCCGCCGCCGCATCGATGAAGGAGCGGTCAGCGGCGAAGAAGCGAGCTGAAAAAGCGCTGGCGGCGCACCTAGCGGGAGATCACCGAATTCTGCACGCCGATACGGCAGCGGACCTGGCGGCGGTTGTACGACACCTGGCGGAGCATCCGCCAGCGGCCCCGCCGCTCTGGCGGCAGCAGCGTCCCGGCATCATGGTAGAGCGGGCAGAGTACGAGCCGCTGCCGGCTGGGTCCACAGCTGGCGCCGCGCCGCTGGCTGCCGCCGCCGCCGCCGGAATCGCAACCGGCGCCGCCGCCGCTGCCGCCGTTGGCACCCTCGTTGTGTACGGATACATTCGCAGCGCGGGTCTCAGTGCCAATCAGTTGGTAACGGTACCCGGCGCGGGGGATTTCCGGATCCTCGCGATCCACGCGCCAGTGGATCCGAATCCAGCGGGACGGGCGGTGGCGGCGGCGGCGGCGGCAGAACGGCAGTCCGCGGCGGCGGCGAAGCCCGTAGAAGCGGAGGCTGAAACTGCTTCGAGGATGGAGATGGACGAGACGGTTGCGGCGGCGGCGGCGGCAGCGGCGACGTGGGTCAGTGATGCTGGTCAGCTGGGCCCGCTGGTCGCGCAGCCCGACCCTGAGCTCGTCCACCCGCTGGTAGGTCCACCAGTGCATGGTAATGCCGCGGGGTAATGCGCATTCGTGAGTTTTAAACCCCACACGGACTAAGCCAATTGGAAATCCATACCTGCCATTGGGGCATGGCGGGGTGGTCTGGACAAGGGTTTTTCTCGCTCTGTGCTCTTCTCGTGTTATTGACCGTGGATCAATGTGTACGGCATACACGTACGACATTTTCATGTAGACGAAGCTCTTGTGTACGGCAGGTAAGATCGGTGGGAGGGAGCTAAAAGCTGGGTGGCAGACGAGAGGTGCGCATGTGATTGATTTACGCCGGCTGACTAGGGCTGACGTACCGTAGCGGAACTAAAGATTTTACAAAATAAAGATTTTACCGCAAAATTATGGATTTTAATATATTTTACGGAACGAAGTATTTTACCGCATGCTGGCGGATTTTGCCAAGATTTTACGGTACTGTGGATGATTTCCTGGAATTTTACCGGTCCGCAAAGCTACCCAACCATGCAACACCACTGCCCGCCTCCCTCTCACGCATAAGGGGCTATGAGAATTATCACGACACGTCTCAAACTAAGAATCTCCGAATTGTAAACCCCCATCTGGAAGCCAAGCCACCGTGACACGGCCTCCAAACATCCACCAGTCTGTAGCAGCCGCAGATTCTTATGATTGATGAAGGACGCGAGAGCATTGCCGTATATTGTATGGTATGGCCGGCAGCTTGTCAATGAAGCGGTGTTTGGTGAGCTTGCGCTTGCCCATGCTGCTGCAAGAAATAGGTTGATATAGTGATATGTTACAATATTCTGTATAAAATAGTATAAGAGGTAGTGCCGAAAGCCTGTTGTGCGTGAAGGGCCATATGTATTTTACGGCATCGCTCCGAATTCCCTCCCGGGAACTAAAGATTTTACAGAAAGACTCTGAATTTCGCCAAAACATTTTACCGCATGCAAATAATTATTTATTTTGTAAAATCTTTAGTTCCGCTACGGTATTTCCCGTATTTGGCGCAGGTACGGGAGAATGTACCGGAGCCGGGTGCGGAGGAGCAGACCTGGCCGACGGAGGAGGAGATGGAGGTGGCGATGGCGCCGCGGACGCGGCGGCGGAAGGTGCCGGAAGGTACGACAGCGTGCACTGGCGGCATGCCGGGTGGCGGAGGCGCGGGGCTGGGCTTGGAGAGGGGGGGGGATGTGCGGGGGAGGGGGGGGAGAGCGTGTTGGGGGGGGAAGGAAACGAAGGCAGATGGGCGCATGTGTGTAGGTGATGGGGGCTGTGGTTGCTGGTAGGTGTCTGGATGTGTGGTGTGACGGTGTGGGTGTGGGTGCAATATGGGTGAGGGGGGGAGGACGGCTGTGGTGACGGTGCGGCGGCGGTGGTGGCGGTGCACGGCGGCGTGTGTGTTTTGCAGGGACGTCCGAGTACCAGGCGGCTTGGATTTTGGACGGTGAAGAGTACGACGATGAGGATGATGAGGATGAGGGTGACGACGAGGACGATCCGTACGGCATGGACGCCGATGCCGACGGCGGAAGGCCCGCCGCCGGCCGTCGTCAAGGCGCTGGAGGCAGCGGCGACGGCAGCGGCACGAATTCAGACCGGGGGGAGGTTCCGGAGCTGTTGCCCATCCCAGAAGACGACGATGATGATGCCGGTGAGGCTACGAGTGGTAGTGAGGGCAGGAGAGGAAGATGTTTACGTTCCCAAGGGCTTTTTCGGGGGTTGGAGGCCGGCTTTGGTGGTGAGGGATTTGTGGAGTCCATTTAGCACGAAGTTCAAAGCATCAGTACCAGCAGCATCAGCAGCGGCAACAATTGCCGTGGTGTCCATAAATGAATCAATCTACCATTTTAAGTAATCAACCAAGGGCAAATTAGACGCTGCTCGGGTTACCTACACTCGCCCTTCCCTGCCTTCTCGCTGTCCGAACCCCAGCAACGGACGCGGGCGATGTCTCCATGCTAATGGAAGACGACGACGAAGGCGGCGACGGCACCGGCGCCGGAGGCTACGCGGCTGCCCTAGACGCCGCGCGCGCGGCACGCCGCGGCGGCGGCGGCGGCGCCAGCCGCGCAGACGCATCTATTGGTGGTGGTGGTGGTGGTTATGGTGGTAGTGGTGGAGGTGAGGCGGCTCAGCTAGACTTCCCCGACGAGGTGGACGTTCCGCTGGACGTCCCCGCGCGTGTTCGCTTCCAGAAGTACCGCGGGCTGAAGAGCTTGCGGAGCAGCCCCTGGGACCCCAAGGAGTCGCTGCCGCCGGAGTACGGCAGGGTGTTTGCGTTTGAGAATTTCAAGCGGGCGCATAAGCGGGCGAGGGAGGCGCAACAGCGTACGACAGGGGACCTGGACCCGTGTGGCGTGTCGGCAGGTGCGGTGGGCCGTATGGGGCGGATGGGGCGGGTGGCATAGGTAGAGTAGATTGGGGTGGATGGGGGGGGTGTAGGGGCAGTGGTGGGTGGGGTGGGATTGTCAGGTGGGTGGGTGTTAGGTGGTGACGCGGTGCCGGAACGGGAGAGAGCTTAATGTCGTGTCGTGTTTTTGTACCCTCCCACCTCCCCCTCGCCGTCCACCTCAACCTCCACCTCCACCCCAACCCACCCAAGCCATCTACTACCCACATGTCAATAACCACAGGGCCCCAGGGGACCCTCAACCTCAATAGATAAAACAACATCACAAGCCCTAGGCAAATACTAAAACGTGAACAGAAAGGAAGATAGAACAAAAAAGAACATGAACTCCTTGGCTGTGGTGGGCTGTCGCAGGTAGCTATGCGGCCATCCGCATTGGTGGAGTGCCCCCCGCCGCCGCCGCAAGGGTGACGGCCCACGTCGCCGCCGCCGCCGCTGCA